CTGTCAACATCTAAAGAATTACAAATAGGAAATATTATTATATCTATGACATATAGTAATAATCTTAAAGCCCCATCAGAATATATAAAGAATTTGAAGAAAATAAGGACTAGAAAAGGAATAAATGATATTTTTTCATCAAACAAAGATCCAAAAGATTTACAAGGAATGTTCTCACAACTTATCGATTTTAATGAAGTTTCAACAGTATCATTAGATCCATTACCAAACCATTTACAAAATATTGAAGATTGTCATAACTACCTTCGAATTTGGAATCAACACTATGATCGATGTGAAAAAGAGATCAATAACCAACACATCAAAACACTAAATCTTATTCACTCTTTATCTTAATTCTTTTTCTTTTTGTTAAAGTATTGCAAACAAAAACAAGAAATGAAACTAAAAGCAATTCATTAATGGATAGATGGAAAGGAAGAGATATTAAAAGTCGCATAAACAAAAAATTTGAGGATGTGAATTCACGTTTGATCTTAAAGTTGTAGACTGGGTGTTGAAGAACTTTTCATATTCTCTGGGTTACAAATATTATACTAAGTGAATTGATCGAAGCAAAGTTAATAGCAAAATATTTTTGTAACGCAACTGAAAATGAATACAATATCCTAATTTAAGCATTATTAGGAGATCCAAATTTTTCAAAATTTTTTAACTCAAAAGATAAAGATGTATTAATATTAGCTGTTATTGCCAAGAAACTTTATTAAGATGGTAATCTTTGTAGAAGTTTTAACACTTTTTATTTAACACATTCTGTATCAAGCTTATGCAAAAAACTATTTAAGTTTTCATACATATAGTTACAGATACTTAGAAAATAAAATAAACAGTTCCAAAGAAATTAGAATAATCCAGTAATGAGAATGTTACTATCAAAAAAATTCGTTTTTTATTACTGTATTTTATAATCAAATTCTGTTGACATACATCAGTTTGAAAAGAGCATTGAGTATTTAAATATTTTTGTTATTTATCTAAATAATCATATTAGAGTATCCAGATTATGCGGTTTCAGTTATTTTTCTAATAGAAAAATCACTAAAATTGCATAAACCGGTGTCTCTAATTCATATATATAACGATAACTTATTTCAGCTAGAATAAACATGTGACACATTAGAATTGATTTTTTTTTCTGCAAACAATATTTGAAGTCCGACGGCCTCTGGCGGCTGTTGGATTTTTAATGCACTTTCAATACATAGTGCTTATTAAAATAATATATATCATAAAATATAATTTTCTGTTCTTTTTTCTATTTTAACGTTAAACTTGTTTAAATGTCACTATTAGTAATATATATATATACTAGTTTATTATACATAATATACATAGAATAATAACTAGAAATATAAATAAAAACATACTTATAGTATGTTTTTTCTCGAAAGTAAAATAAGAGATGGGGCTTTAAGATTATTACTATATGTCATAGATATAATAATATTTCCTATTTGTAATTCTTTAGATGTTGACAG